GTGTGAGTAAAATGTACCCCATATGAGTAGTGCCGTTGATTGTGTGTGATTAGACTTTGTCTAAGTAAGGCTTGCAGGATCTAGTCCATAATTATAAGATTGATACCAAACACAATGTTGGCGTGTCTATGCACATGGGGACAGATTGTGTCTTGTGATCCAGTGAAGACTTCTATAGGACTGCTGCAGAGATGAATCATCCACAGGGGAGAATATTAGGAATTTTAAATTATAGGAAGCAACAATCCTCTCCACTGCAGTACTGAGCAACACCAACATATGAACGATGTTGAGAAGGTAAGAAATGAACTAGCTACTTACAGTAATGTGCATGGCATCGTTTGAGAGACCTCGCAAAGATGGCAAAGCCCACTTTGCACCAGGTTTGGAGTCAGGGAAAGGCAGTAAAACTGTGATAAGGTTGATTTTTTTTTCTTGAGGGAAAGAATTTAGAAGTAAATAGGCAATGAAATAGCAAAGTCTAACTTTACCTCATTGGTGAGTGGAATACATAAGCACAGAAAGACTAGCTTTAAACAGCAGGAGAAGTAGAGACAGTCAATAGCTAAACAAAAGTGATCAAGCTTATAACAGCTTTGGGCCAGTGGAAGAGGGAGAACGTTTCATGCCTGTTCCTTTGAAACTGTGTCTGGAGGCTGAGCTGAAGTGGACAGCAGAAATGTCAGATATGGAAAATCGGTTAGCATGATAACAACGCTTTGCAGTCAAATAATGCCTCCCATCTGAGGAGCTCAAAGTATTTTACAAACACAACTTCATTAAACTTAACTTCCTAGCGAGGAAGGCAAGCATAATCCTCTTCTAGCAATGAGGAAACTGAGGTATAAAAGGTGAGTTTTTAAAGTGACTACTGATTTTTGGAGGACCAACTGGAGAAGACGTACAGGGTGTTCAGGAAGTGCTGAGAATGTAGCCGCCTTCAGAAAATCAGGCCCTTTTAAGTTGTTTCAAGTTAGGCTCACAAAAATCACTAGTGACTCTTGAAAACCTTGGCCAGAGAGACTAAGTGTCACAGAGACTGTGGCAGCGTGGGAACAGAATTTAAAACATCCTGATTCCTAGGCTTGTGTCTTTGCAGACCTCCTTTCCTCTGTAAAAATCTTCTAAGGGGAACATGTCTGATTCAGATTTGACAACAGATGTGCAGGGAGAAAATCAACCTCTGGCAGTGTGAAAAGGCAAATAAATCATCTCTGAGCCCTTGTATCTTGTTCGCTTGTAATTTTTTAACAGACTTGAACTAGGAAAGTTTCCTGGAGTCACATGGTCTCTAGCAGGCGTCAATTACTCTTTGAGCCAATATATGAGAGTTGTTACAGGAGCTTCTTTTAAACTCAGATTAGGGTTGGCTGGGTTCATGTAGTTTCAGCAGTTCCAAAGAGCCAATAGTGAGGGTCAGAAACTTTCTTTATATTTGGTAGCTCAGCAGGAGGCAATCAAAAAACTTCAGGGCAGTGGATTTGCTTGCTTAGGGTCAGCTGCATCCAGAGGGTTTTAGCAGTTTCAAGGAGCGGTTAGTGAGGGTCAGAAGTTTCCTTTATATTCACCAGCTTGGCCAGAGGTAATCAAAAACCTCAGGAAGGCAGAGCAGTTTATGCAGCTTCAGTGATTGCAAAGAGCCTCTAGTGAGGATCAGCAACTTGTGGTGACCCACCTGGGCTCGCCTGTGTTAAACTGGTCAAGTCAGCAAGCCAAGAAGCACAAGTGAAGCTGAACTCTGGATTAGCTGACACAGGAAGACCAACAAAGCCAGATGCAGGGCTGCCATATAACTATCAGGTGTAGTATATTTCATAAGGAAAACGGTGAGCTGAAGGAAGGATAGCACATTTATACTTCTGGATTAGAGCATGTCGGCATTGGTCCCCCTCTGGACTGTTGTTTAAATTGTTGTATTATGTAAGTACAGCAGTGTACCCCTCCCAAAAGTTTACAGACAACAATCTCACGCTAAATGTTGGAGGTTCAGGTTGTATCCAAATCCTTTAGATTGCTTTGAAAATCTCTGGCATGTTTGGAGCAATTACATACATGCAGTTAGGACAATTTGCCAACATGTAAGTACAATATTATTTAACTATTACGAAATTACCAGAAAAGTTCTACCACACAGGAGGGTAAAAATAAAATCTGCATACGAACTGTGAAGTACCAATGTGATCTTATTCCGAAATTCAGTTCATAGACACGGTTTAGAAAACGAGGGCTTCCATTTAAGAATCTGACAAATGATTTTCCTAACTGGGCATTTTTAATGTAGTGTGAAGCAACAACTGTGTTCAGTAAAATATAAGAGTTGTTTTTGTAAATTACCATGAGCTTTACCAGGAATAGAATTGAAGGCATCAAGAATGCATCTGAGAAAATAAAGGTTTCAGA